AATCACAAATGTATTTACACCGAATTTAAATATTTTAACTTTTTAGCATTTTAAAGTAAATTAGTTAACCAGTCGTGAAGTGAACTTTTGCGAAAGTGAACAACTTGTGGTTCGCGCGCTCATATGACCTTAGCAGTTGCGAGCGCCGTAAAACCTTATACTATACTACTATACTACTATACTACTATACTATACACATTCACCTGCCGTTGTTGTTGCTTCCTCCGACTCATTGTTAAATTGCCTAACACACCGCTACCTCAGAACTAAAAAGTTCTATCTGACATCTCTGGCTGGCCATTTTGAGTAACTAAAACCATGAAGTCATAAACCAAATGTTCTATATTCTGCTTTATCAAAATCATGCATAAGATTATGCAGAGTCGTTATCAAAATATTCAAAGAATTGCATTCGAAAAAGCTTTAACACGATGTGAAACTCAAAATCTTTGACGTCAAATTTCTCAAAACTAGGCACTGAAAAGATAGAATATTGTAATTCTGAGGTAGAGACACAAGGAACGATAGATGTATACTTAAGTTCCCCCCCCCCCCCCTATCAATTGGAATCTACTTGACTTACTGCGCACATCCAGGATGTTCACTCTCTCTGTGTGGCCTCGCGTGGGTCACCGTGATATCATAATTATGTGAAAGAAGCCTTTTACTTATTTTAAGAATGGAAGCCCAAGTATTCTTTTGATACATCTTGATAACGGTTTTACGTCGCTCGCAGCTGCAGAAGTTCATGTGAGCTCGGGGACGCATTGAATTATTTCAGTTTTTGTAGGTATTTTGAATTTTGCCCGGGTGGCGGCCGACGCCAGTTCATATCGATTTTAGGACCACCAAGAGATCTTAAACGTGCGCAACTTGCACACGGGACATCCAAGAATTTTCACCCTAATCCGAGAAGGCTTGGTGTTAGATCTTACGAAACCAAAAGAACAGGGGTGTTGCTGAAAGACAGCAGTAAGAAAAAAGAGTGACAAAAGAAAGGTTGCAGAAAGAGTCAGGAGCTAAATGGAGGGGACAAAAGGGAGGGGGGGGCGAAAAGTGGAGACGAAATCAGACGACAGAACATGGTTATAAAACAGAAAAGGATAAGAAAGGAGGAAATTTTCCGTCGTTGTCCGGTTTCAAACCCTCTTGAATGAGAAGAGAACATAGTAAACTCTCGATCATAAAAGCCCCTAGCCCAAGTATTCTTTCACCAAACAAACCAATAAGAAGAAAAATAAGCAAGACGGTAGTGAGAGTAAAAGTAGGGGCCTGGGCATAGACAAACGAGAGCAAGAGGCATAGGCCTAGTAATGTTTTGCTGATCCGTGGTCAAATTTGTTATTTATCCCTGATATCCAAAGGGGCAGTTCTGCTTCTTCGTCACAGACACAATTTATTCGGTGCAGACGCTCGCAGAAAGCAAATTCGCCATACTGATTTGCTTGATCATGATCTGCTGAAAATTAATAAGTTGGTCGTGTTTCACTGTATAAGGGCTTTCAGCCAGGTTTAACTGTTAAACAGCTATCGCTATCACCCATGTTTTACTGCAGACACACACACAGGCATGCTCTCTCTCTCTCTCTCTCTCTCTCTCACACACACACACACACACACACACACACACACACACACACACACACACATACACACGCACAAACAAACACACCATACACACGCACAAACAAACACACACGCACAAACAAACATACACACACAAACAAACAAACACAAATACAAGAAAGTTCCATTACT